TAAATATTTTCCTTTTCTGTCTGTGTGATTTCTGTAGATGCAATCGCGGATGTATACGAAGTCGAAGTGGACGAATCAGCGGCTACAAAATGTGGTTGAAAATATTTTTGGACCATATCTGGTTGATCTTCATATACAGAAAATGATTGAAACTGTTCCACTACGGTTTTCTTGACCGCTGCCGCCGCTGCAGCGAATATTGCCGTATTCTCATTGTGTGTGTTTGCATTTCCAACTTCTCGAAACGCCTAGATTAAATAACAAAAATATTTTATGAAGAATGAACTAAAACCGGAATTCAAGTAAAAATTTAATAAATTCCACACTATTTTTTAAATGGGTGAATATCAAAATATGTCCCATGCCTTAAATAAAAGATTTCAACGCATTATATGCTTGTTGGGTAATCTTTTATGTAGGTATTTATCTTGTGTTTTTAGTGCTCATAATGGAAACCCGTTATTAGTGTGTAGATCTCTCAAGTCCTGTTACAGAAAGGTTTAGTATTATTGTAATAAACTGATACTTCTAGATTAGACTCTATTTTCTGAACATTAACCTTTGCATTTTTTGGGAACTGTGAGCGAACTTTTTAATTATTGAATAATGAATCTGCATTACCTCAAAATAAAAACAAAATATATTTCGTCGCGCCTGCGCACTTTTTTTTAATATTTCCTTTAAATAGGAAACCAAATACATAGGTACTTACCACTTTGCTACCCGCCATACCTCCAGCTGTGTTGCGTCCATGTCCGTTGTTTGTATTTGCGTTTAGCACAGCCAAGTTGCTGCGGCCTGCACCATCAGCTTGCTTTCCTTTTATAGGACCAGCGGCTGCTCCGAGGATAGAAGGCTGTAAAGCATTCACTCTGTTGCTGCCAGTGGCCAAGGTTTTCTCCTTTAATGCTGCAGGCATATGTGGATTTTCCTTCTCGGCATCTTGATGAATATGGAAAGTGGCCATTGCGCAATGTTCCTTTTCCTTTGCACTGTTCTTCGCTCTCTTTTACTCTTATTGGCCGATCCGATATCTCAAAGTTTCTTTTTTCGCTTCGCGTTTTACGAAGTCTCGTACACTAGCAGATTAATTTAACACGGTTCCACAAAATTAATTGGCCGCTTATCACTTAACTCCCTAAAATTTCTATAAAAAATAGACAGCGCTGTATGTTTATAATTGAAGTTTTTTCTAATCTTGACGCTTTCAAGTCTGTTTTATTGACTTTAAACTCCTAGCCCGCCACGCCACTTTGGAAATGCAGCTGCTGGATATTTACTCCGGGTAAGCGGTGGCTTATTTAAGTTTAACTTGCGGTGCACCTCTTTGCGAC